CTTTGTTTGGGTTCGTTTTTTTTTTTTTTTTTTTTTTTTGTCACCACACCCTTGGTGGTCTAAGATTGTTGCTCTCAGTGCTGAAATTACAAAAGAATTGCGTATATGTGTATGTATGTGTGTGTGTACATGCATGAGTGGGTTTATGTGTGTGCTCACTCAACCAGAAGACAATTCTCAGATTTTTGCTCTTTCAAGGCACCCAGAAGTTAATGCACTGGGTAATTAGATGTGTGACCAGGTGTGAATGTAATGTACAACATCTATACAGAAAAGAGTAGCTGGAGGGAAGAACAGTTGTGTTGTCTGAAAGTGTTAGGCTCATTTTCTATTTGTGTCTGAAGAAATATTCAGCTCTGGTGCAAATGACAGAGTGGCAGCCAGACCAGGCATGGTTCCCTAGGTCAAAATCAGGGGAACACTTATATGAACAGACAGATATGCTTTTTTTTCTGTGGGTGCAGGATTTCTACTGGGAAATGGACGATTAATCTACACTTGTCCAAGAAGGACCCATGCCTTTCTGTTGTCAGTTAAGCCACTGTTACTGATGTACTTGGACAAGATATTGGGCCAGTTCCATGCCACTCCAGCTCAGGCTTACATTGGGGTTTGTGTCTCAAGTCTGAAATCTTGTTTAATCTTCCATGCATAGTTTTGTCTCGTTTTAATGACTGCATCCTCTTGGCACCTTTATTGTACTCAGAACTGAATGGCAACAATAGCTTTGTGTTAATAAAGGCTGCCATGGAGCTGTGGATGAACGGCTGGGCTGAAGTCTGATGAACTTTAGGATGCAGGCATCCAGAAACATGTCCTAAACTCTGCAGGATTCCCTACTAGCCTGGCCTCCTCTGGTGGAATTCCCAGCACTGCCCAAATGTGTACCTGCGTGGGAACAACAGCTGCAAGGTTGGGCATTTAGGATCCAGAGATGTGCATTTAAAACTTGCCCAAATTCACATCCCTCATGTTTATTTGGATCATCATGATTTTGCATGTTGTATATACATCTGGAGTACTTCATATGCCCTCCCCACCCACCCCAGACACTCTTAATCACAGGACTGTAATTTAAAAAAAAAAAGAAAAAAGAAAAAAGAAAAAAAAGGCAAACTACACAGGAAAGAAAAGCATGTAAATATGTACTAATGCTTATAAAGTTGTTATTGTCTATATGTAAAAAGTATGTACATAGGAAAGGGAAAATGGCTCAATGAATGTTTTAAATAATATCATATGTACCAAACTGCATTTGTCCCTGCCATGTTCCTGAAAGCACACATTTAGAATGTCATTCCTCTTTTTTTAGATATCATTGTTTCCATTTAAGAGTCATAGGCACCTTCTTTTCTTTTCATCTGATTACAAAATTCAACATTTCAGAAATGGAATTTTGCCAAAAAAAAAAAAAAAAAAAAAGGCAAACCTGAGTATCACTGATTACTGCTGGTTCAGTGAGCATGTAAAAAATTCAAGTTTTTCTTTTTCTTTTTTTTTTAAAGAGTGCATTTTCTGAATTCTAGACATTAACTTCATTACAAACCAATAGGCTGGATTGAAATTCCTCCAAGTATTTGGGCTCTCTTACAGCTTGCTCTTCAGAAGGGGAAATTTGTGTAAATGCATCACCCCCTAATGAGCAAGAGAAGGGACCCTGAGATGTTGCCGGAAATGTTCACTGTGCAATTTAGACAAGAACATTTATATTAATAATGATCAACATCCTGTCTTTTGTGTTCCCAATCTACAGGACAACATAGATCTTTTATTTGTCTAAACTAAAAATCCATGTAAATTGCGGTTTCCTTTGTTGACACCAATGTGTTTACCTTGTTTCCATGGTCTAGAGTTCAAGTTACTGAAGGACTATGGCTGTTACTTAAAGTCTCTGCCCTTGCAGAATCTGTAGCCTTCAGGATACCCCGAGTGCCTTACATGGCTTGTGAACACCAACACTGGAAATCAGGAAGGAGGGTGTACCCAAGAGTGGGTTTGGAGGCATTGATACATTAATCAACATTTACCATCACTCCATCATTGAAACCTTAAGATGGATTGTGTGTTTTAACACAGTAATGGATTTCAGTTTAGGCTCAGGAAAATCACATTGTGAATATATGTATCAAATCATATATTTGTTTACTGTATATTTTTAAAAAAGCTTTATTGTAAGTTTATGCAAAAACTAATAGGACTTGTTTTCCCATGGCAATATGCCAGACAGTATTTGTGTTCTCTGAAGCAATTCCTTAATAACTACATTCTAAACATGTGCTGTTCTGTTCAGTGCTAAACAGTATTCACAGGCCTAAAATAGGTTTGTATGGTGATCAACTACAAATTTTACACATATTTTTGTAACGTGATTCCTATGATATATACCAGAGAATTTTTACTCATTTGTAAATTATTGTACAGTTTTAATAAAAATTGTTTTAAATCTTAGATCAAAGCTCCCCCCAAAGGTATTATTAAAATTTGAACTCATGGGCTATATTAGCCATTTCTGCATTTCTGTGTTTATTCTCTGAGCAACAATGCCTGTTTCACACCATAAAGGGAAGGGAAATTCAGGCTTTCTGTCCACTTAGGGGGAGGGTGAGCCACACATATCTCATTAGCAGCTAGAGATATGGGACAGTACCTGGCTAAGGGTAGCCACCTGGTAGGGCTCCTCTTGTGGTGGTTTATCAAATGTGAACTAGAAGAGAAAGAATTCAATGAATTCTTTGAATCTGTTGATAATGTATATGGCAATAACTTTGACTGAACTAATATGCAGTGTATTTATGCTGGGAAAACTTGTTTTGTATGCTGTAATGAGATGCAGTGATTAAATGGGGAAAAACCAGTAATAATAATAAAAATAAAAGAACTCAAGAAAGGGCAAGAATTTCTGCATATGAGTAAGAATAGCTGGTCATGTCAGTTATAGATTACCTTACACTGGTGAGTAAGGGACATTTTATCAATGAATGAGGACGTTTTATCAGTCAATTTGAGAATGTAGAAACTGGAAGTAGGATGCAGGGGTGGGAAGGTCACTGGACTTAATTCTACTGGAACACTTAGGCCTCACCAGTCCTTGAAGTCACACTGGCTCTCATTGTTTGAACTTAGGCTTTGAAATGCTGGCTTCTCTGACAAGGAAAATACTGAAAGATTTTTCCTTCAAAATCAATCACTGTAGAGGTCAATAGAGTATTTATTGCCCTGTAACCTCTGGGTGGGCCGGTGGTTCCTCTGCCTTGTCTCACCCAGAAACCTTAAACTCGGCTTAAAGGGAGGTCAGGAGCTGGTTGCGTGGGCTAAAGCCTCTGATTTTCCCCACTTGCCAGATGTTTTGGAGACAGGGCCTTCTTCCCTGGCGTGGCATTTCCCAGGGGGCCTAGAATGTAGCTGGAGCTCCGACAGATAGTTGTTTCTGCAGCGGGCTCTTCTCACCTGCACTTCCTACAGGTTAAGTTGGAGGTCAGAGCCTACTAGTGCTGGGAGAGCTAGCCGCTGCGCTCAGTGGGAGTAGAATGTGCGCCCTTGGGTCCAGGCCCTGCGCGTTCAGCACTCACTGTACGGACAGCGACAGTCCCGCTCAGCCCAGCTGGGGGCCGGCAGGGGGCGGGGTGAGGGCGAGGCTCCCCTGTCAGCCAAGTGCACCTGCCGCGCGCAGACCCTCCTGCAGGAGGCTCTGGAGACCCAGCTAGCCGCTGCGCTCAGTGGGAGTAGAATGTGCGCCCTTGGGTCCAGGCCCTGCGCGTTCAGCACTCACTGTACGGACAGCGACAGTCCCGCTCAGCCCAGCTGGGGGCCGGCAGGGGGCGGGGTGAGGGCGAGGCTCCCCTGTCAGCCAAGTGCACCTGCCGCGCGCAGACCCTCCTGCAGGAGGCTCTGGAGACCCGGCCGCCCACGCGCGCAGACCCTCCTGCAGGAGGTCCTGGAGACCCGGCCGCCCATCGCCCACTCCCACCATGAGCACGCAGCGGTCGCAGGAGCTCGCGAAGCCTCTGGCCCGGCCCAAGCTTGGTGGCGTCTTCCGCTGCGTGGAGGACGCCTTCGAGAACAAGACTCTGCAGCTGGACGCGTTGCGAGGCAGCCACCAGGGCCCTTTGGGCGGCAAGCTCTCCCGCAGGCCAAGCAGCAACTCAGAGGAACCCGGCGAGCCAGAAAGAGATGTCCCGGCGGCCTCAGCAGAGCCCCGAGGGCGGCCTCGCCTGGGCTGCAGCCCACAGCAGGTAGCAGTCACGGGACTGGGGACAGAGCCGAGGGCAGAAGCGTCGGTGCGAGTGTCTGCACTCCCGGAAAACCCGTACATACATGCCGGGAGGCCTACGGGGAGTGGATCTCGTCCCCTTCCCTTTGGCTAGAACTCTGTCTCTCTGCTGGTCCTGACTTCTCTATGCTGAGATCCTAACCTCAGCCCTGATTCAAGGTTTCAGACCCCTTGCTCTTGTTCTGGGCTTCTACCTCTGTCTGTGTCTCTCCAATTTGTCCTCTCTCCTATCCCCTGCTTTGCAGAAAGACGTCTCCACCACCTCGCTCCGCATTATCAGGGAACGGCCTGGGGTTCCGTCCCCAGTCCGGGTCATCAGGGAAACAGCATTGCTTTGGCCAGAGACATATTCCTGGACAGAGTGCGGTTTTGGGAGCGCTGCGATCAGATTTGAGACTAGTTTTGAGTCCCGCCTCCTTGGTTGCCTCTGGTCCCTAAGGGGCTGACTGCATGCCCTTGGCAGGGCACCGGCGCAGGCGGGGCCTGGCAGGACATTGCCCTACCTCTTCCCGCTCTCGTTCCCAGCATATATGCACTTTTCACCCAGCATATATTCGCAGGTCCGCGCAGTCCCCAGGCGCGGAAGTCAGGGCGGGCGGACGCCCCTGATGAGCTGGGCTGGGAGTTCCCGAGATTTGGAACGGCCGAGGCGGGGCTTGAATGCAAATGAGCAGCTAAGGAACGGAGGCGGGGCTTGATCGGGGGCGGGGTCAGAAACGGGAGCCTCTCTGCTTGCGCGCTTGCTCTGGGACGCCCTGGGCCCCCCACGCACACGCCCCGGCCCTGCGCATCCCCCCGCCCGCCTGTGCCCGTGTAGCCCCTTCCGGGGACCTCCAAGCCCGCTCCGCCGGAGCCAGGCCGCTTGGGCCTACAGAGGCGGCGGCGCCGGCCCTAGAAACAAGATGTCCTTCCAAGGCAAGAAGAGCATCCCCCGGATCACGGTGAGCCGAGCTCTCAGCCCCTGCATCGTCCGGTGCCCCTTGCCCAACGCCTGGAGTGGGGCCTGGATGCAGGGAGGACCCTCCTGGACCCTACCTTAGGGTCAGCCCTCCGTGTGACCCTGTCCGGGAGCTGGCCCTTCCTGCCGGACTTCGCGCGCCTCTGGAACCCCTTGCAAAGCCAGGCGCACAGGCCTGAGCCCTGCTGGCTTTCTGGGAACCTCCTCTGCACTTGGTGAGGGCCTGGGGCAGCAAGCGGCCTGCTCCCCAAACCGCAGGTATGCCTTCTCCCGGCAGTGGCAGCCGGGCAAGGCGTGCAGATTGGGCCTCAGAGCTCTGTCCTCGCCGGCGGCGGATGGACTCGGCCCTTTGTTGACCGGCGTGGCCTGCTTCTGGGCCCGCGGAGATGCCTCCCCAGTGCGGACAGTGTGCTGCCCGCCCTCTGGACGCGCCTCTGCAGTCTAGAGAGCTCTTTGTCCCAGACAAAGCGATTTAGCCCCGGCCACTGAGCCAGGAGCTTCTAGCAATCCTGTAGGGCTCCATGAAACTAGGGTTTCGGAGACTCCAAAGGAGGCGAGCATTCACTGATCACTGACTTGGCATCTCTGCAGCCTCAGCCTTCCAGGAGAGCCTTCTACCCTCACCCTCCACACCCACATACACCAGAGCGGGAGGTCAAACTGTCCACTCCTGCTCTGCCAAGAAACAAAGCTTCCCACTCAGGTGCCAGGCAGCCCAGGGAGAGGGGGAGGGGAGAGCTGGAGGAAGGGAGGGAGGCTCCTGGAATCGGGGTAGCTTTCCGGAGCTCAGATCTTACTCTGGGCTTGGCCATGAAGTCTAGCTGGGGGTCTCAGTTGATGGGGTTCACTCCTTCCTGAGATACTCAAGGAGTAAGGAGCCCTTCCCCTACTAGTATGGGAGGGGTTGCTGGCCATCAGGGTCTAGGTCTGATGCAAAAGGGCTTGCCAGCCAACTGGCACTGGTGGAGCTTCGGATTGTGGGGAGGACCCTATTTAGTGTGGGTCAGGTAGCCTGAGCTGAGGAAGGGCAGCTGGTTTACCAGAACTTTCACCTCTACCCTGGCAAGACCAGTAGAAAGAACACATCTCAGCTGCATTTCCCAACCCCAGGAAGGTTCCCAGAGTCTGAGCCCAGGTACTTGAAAGCAGGATAGGGGATTGAGCTAGGAACCTAGATTGCAAGTCTCTTCCTGCCCTAAGCCTTTCTTTTCCTGGCAGAGTTTTCTCTGGCCTTCCCCGAGAGAATGAGTTGATCCCCTGGGAGGGTATGGGGAGTTGAAGCAGAGGCGTGGCCATTGGCAGGCAGCTGGCCTAAGTGGGCTGCAGAGGTTGGGCCAAGTGGGTGGTTGTGATGGGTCAGGACTGGGCCTAATGCACAGCCCCAGCTGAGTAGGAAGAGTGGGGAGAGGGAACCAGCAGTTAGCGTAATGGCTATGTCACTGGACTCCCACGTAGTCGACTGCGGTTCGCGTCCCGGACCTGATGGCTTAGAACTCACGCCAAGCGCGTGTGCATGCGTGCCCAAGATCCTGAGAGGAGAATGGAGGAGAAGGGATTGCGGTGTGACCATCCCCCCTGGGGGGTGATTTCTCACTTTCCGTCTCTATGTCTCTCTCTGTCTGTCTGGCGAGCGCACATGTCCTATAGCCAAAACCTCTCCAAAAAAAAAAAAGAGTGGGGAGAGGCCCCACAGTAGGGAATGGGCAGTGCTGCAGATCAGGGTCAGCACACTTCTTCCATGTGAGCCACATGGTAAATGGCATTGTGGGCCTTCCTGCTTCTGTCATAGCTATTCAACTCTGCCAGGAAAGCAGTCCAAGACAAGAAGGAGGTACTGGGCATGGCTGTGCTCCAGTAAAATTTCACCTGAGGTCACTGAAATGTGAACTTCATATAAATTTTTGCAAGCCATGAAATACTCTTTTATTTTTTTTTCCAACCAATATAAAATATAAAAGCCATTCTTAATTCCAGACTGGATTTGGCCTGAGGCAGCTCTCATAGCCTCCAGATAGTGGGTGTACCTTTAATCAATAGTCTTGAGAATTCAGTCCAAATAGTTAGATGCAATGCGAACAGTGAATAATGTAATAAGGTGCATAAACAATGAACTCTTCATGGCTTCGGTAGTCGCTTAGAGTTCTACTAATTGCACTGCACAGTTTGATCCTCTTGGCATCAGACTGATGGTGCATAAAGAACCAGAAACTGTGGGCTAGTGCCCTGGCCCAGAACCCTGGGCTACTGTCAAATGCAGACTGCCATCCTGCCTGGTCAATGTATAGGGAGTGTTGAGGCCCAAGCAAGCTAGTCTAAGGGAAAAGTGCTGCTCAGTCTTACCATTTATATGCATTCTGTGTCCCGCTTTTCATTCCTTTAGTGTGTGTGTGTGTGTGTCTGCTAATTTTCCACTGAGCAGAGGCCATTACCTCTGGCAGCTGTGCAAAGTTCCACTATTGATATCCCACTTTCTGCCTGATTTTTTTTTTTCTTTCTGACCATCTGATAAGATTCTTAGAAGTGATTTTATGACTGCCAAGCATAAGTCAGTCCCTGCCTAATGCCATACCTCTGTGCGGCCATGAGTAAGGCATGAAGAATTGGCCTCACTCACTGACACTTTGTTCACCTATTTGGGGCACCTCCACAAGACCCCAGAGCCTGTGGTCACCCTGATTTCTTCCGTGTCCTTCATCCCCACAGCCTCATTGTCAGCACACACTGCCTACCTGATTCCCAGCCTCTCTGGAATCCATCTTTCATCACCCCTCTCCCATAATGCTGGCTTGAATCCTTCCTCTCACCTGGACAACCTCAGAAACCTTAGCAGTTACCCTGTTTCTATTATTGAACACCATGATCTGCTTTCTGTACAGCTCTTTAAAATGTCAATCAGACCATGAGTAAAAATTGCCTTAGGGATCAGCCCACTGATTCCCTGAGCCCAGCATAACCCATCCCTGCCCAGCTCTGGACTTTGCTTCTGCCTCCTGCCCCTTCCCTCAGAGGGACTCAGACCTCAGCCTCTTCATCTGACATCCTGGCCTGGAGTCCTCCCCTTGGCTGCATGGCCTCTAGTATCAGCCCCTCAAAGAGGCTCTTCTCTATCTTTGAAGTAGCCTTGACTTTTCCCCCGTCACCCTCTGTCCTAATACCCTCTTTGTGCTCTTGCTTAGTCAGTCTATACCGATCTTGTGCTTGTGTTTTCTTGCTGTCGTTTGTCTCCTCCATTGGGATACAACCTCCTAGGATGGGTGATGTACCTGTGGGGGGTGCTGCACTACCCCACACCTGGCACTATCATGGGCTAGGCCAGCATTCTGGTGGGGAGAAAAGTCCAGCTCCTCAGCTCCCGACCTCCTCAGTGCAGGTGGAAGAGAGAGGGCAGTAAGTGGGCAGGACTTCTGTGACACTTGTTCACCTCTTCCCTCAGGCTGGGGTGTTTTAATTTGATGATGAAGCTGAGGATGTAACTATGACCCATCGTACTCACTGCTGCCCTTTCCCCAGCAGCGGCTTCATCCTTGTGTCCCCTGTTCCTTCCTGTACCTTTAACCAGGCCAAACTGCCTCAGCCGTGGGTGCAGGGCTGCTGGGCTGTGCGGGCTGTGCAGGCTGTGCTGGGTGGTCTATGGTAGTAGCTGCCTTTGAGCGCCCCCTGCTGTGCTCGTGGGGGATAGTGAGCGAGGGTGGGCTTTTGTGCTCATTTATTTATGTGCACAAGTTGTGCCAGAATGTTTTTATCGTAACTCCGGAGGGAGGCGTAACACCATCTTGTTGAATAACTCAGTCTGGAGAAAAATGACCCACTTTTTGTTCCCAATAGAGTGACCGCCTCCTAATCAAAGGCGGGAAGATTGTGAATGATGACCAGTCCTTTTATGCTGATTTGTATGTGGAAGATGGTTTGATAAAGTAAGTTTCCGTCAAAATATATTCTTAGTCATCTGTTCACATATCGATTACATGCTATCCAGGCAGTTTTGTTTGTTGGTTTGAGTGAATCCATTTAAAATGCTTTCTTTTCCAAAACCCTGTTCCCTGTAAACAATAACATGGTTACCACTGACAAAGCCCAAGCTCAGAGCGAAGAGAGCCTCTGCAGTTAGTTGAAAGATTTCGGAAGGCTGAACAATGGTTTTCATATTTTCTGTGTTATCACAGCACTTTGAATGATGCCGTGCTCACAGTGGGTGCTTAATAGACATGTACTGAGCACACCCATTAGCTTCTCTGCCTGTATCTGTCAAGCAGCCCCAGCCACTAGTCAGTATGGTAACAAATAGAAACTAGTGGAAAACCAAAAGAGGAGTGATAGTTGCACAAAGCTGGGTCTTCCATTTTGGCTTTTTTTTTTTTTTTTTTTTTTTTTGGTCAAAGACATTGCTCTTTTCCTTAAGAGCCCAAATGCATGCTTCTCAGCTCCACCATGCTGCTACGGAGCCTCTTCAGTTCTGATCTGGGCTCTCTACAGCCAATGAAATCTCTCCTTGTTTCTAGACAAATTGGAGAAAATCTCATCGTCCCTGGGGGCATCAAAACCATTGATGCCCATGGCCTGATGGTCTTGCCAGGCGGAGTTGATGTCCATACAAGGTTGCAGATGCCTGCCCTGGGCATGACCCCAGCTGACGACTTCTGTCAGGGCACCAAGGCAGCCCTGGCAGGAGGGACCACCATGATATGTGAGTGTCTGGGTCCCCTCCTCTCCAGGCGGGCAGCATCCGGCCCATGTGTGTGCTTTAGAGAGAGTTTTACACACTAGTGTCTCTCTCAGTGCTGTTTTCCTTTATTGTCTCAGTCTCAGAAACTCTGGAGTACCCTTTTGTTACCCCTGTTTCTCACTCTGGGTTGTTTTGGCTTGGCCTGTTCTGGAATGCTCCTGGGATTTTGGTGGAAGCAAATGGTTATATGCCCAGTTATTATTTACTGGGGAACTAGCAGCTGGCTGTCTTAGTCCTGTTTTGCATTCTAAGGGAACTATCCGAGATAGGGTGATTAATAAAGAAAATAGAAGTTTATTTGCAAAACTCATGATTCTTGTGGTTAGAAAATCCAAAGGCATCACAAGATGGCGGGAAGCAGAACTCTGAGCAAAGTAGAGCACGGTCCATCCATGCGGTTCTGCCTGCCTCATCGCCGCTCCTTATACATTCAACAGAACTCAGTCATGGTGGCTGCTCTGATGGCTTTCCCATGGCCATCAGGAAAGGATTTAGTTTTCATTGAATACCTTCATAATACAATCAAGTCACAACACGTGAGCTTTGGGGGGCATCTAGTTACTGCCCACTACAACCAAATTCAAAAATATAACCCACTGGGGGACAAAACATTTTCTAAACCATAACACTGGCCAAGACTGGAGTTTGGAAAACTCTTACACAAAGAAAGGGTTGCCTTGTCTGAAATATAAGGTACACGTTTGACCTTGAACATTATGCCTGTGGAGTTTGCAGAATTTCTATCCATGTCAAGAAGAGTTAAAGAAAGAGTTGTGTTCTTAGAAAAAAGATGCCAATAATGATTATCAGCTTATCAACACCAACCAGGGTTCACGTTCCTTGGTGCTAGCTGTATGCCAGGCATAGGCTCCATCCTGACAAGCGTTAGCTCATGTGATCTACTCCCAAGCCATCTGAGCTCAGCAGAGAAGCCACATTTAACAAGCCTTTCCAGCAAATTCATTTGCCCACCATGTACTTGCACATGGTAAGCTCAGGAGCCAGGATGAGACCTCTTCCCCACTTCATGGCCTTGACTGCTGTCAGCTCCGTCTGTGATGTCTGCTGAGCAGATTTCTCTGCTGTGGCAGAGACCTGGTCTGATTGCATGCTAAGGGAAATACCCTAGCTGAATCCTGGCTCCGTCACTTTCTAGCTGTGTGACCTCAGGTAACTTCTTAAAGTCACACGTTCCTCCTGTAAAACAGGAGGAAAAATATTCTCCTTATATGGTTGTGAGGGTTAAATGAGGTAATGCACATTAATTGCTTTGTGTACCTGGTACATGGTAAATGCTGTTGCTGCTGCCACTCAGGAGGCCAGCGCTGAGGACTCTGAACTACATCACGAGTGGCATTTCACTATTGCCAAAATCAGGGGTTGGTTTGTTTTACTAAAAAAAAGAAAAAGAGAAGGAAAGAGAGAGAGAGAAAGGAAGAAAAAGAAGGAAAAAAGAAAGACAACAGTCCACCTTGCAGTTTGACTGAGGAGGCTGATCATTTCAGGCCAGGCACTGGACAAGCTCCTCAGAGTGGTGACCCAGGTGGGCCAGGACATCTGCACTATTGATGTCATCTGCCTCATGCAGGCCAAGGCATCCGGCAAGCTGTGAGGTGTCCCCATGAGGATGGAGAGATGCCACTGGCATGAGGCTGTCCTCTATGTAGCTGTCCATTTTCCTCCACCTGCTGACCCCAGGCAGCAACTCTGAAGAGAAAGGGTGGGCACCCCCTTCTACAGAGTCCTGGCTCGTGATCTGAGCAATGGGACTCGTAGGGGCCCCGTGTGCAGGTGTGTGCTGCACGAAGGTGCAGCACTTCCTGGTATCTCTGGGTGGGTCACCTTCCTGTTTGGCCACCCACGCTCTGAGCTCTTTCCCAGGTGGACCCAGGAGAGACCAGGGAGCAGTGTTTGGATCTTGGACGTGTGGTTGGCAGAGCTGACAGCACAATGGCCACATGCAGGGGATGGGATGACACTGTTCAAGCCGTGTGGATCAGTGAGGCTCCTGGGAAACCAGCCCCGGCCTGCTGTTCTGTACTGGGGGAGGCGCGCGTGGCGGAGCCCAGCGCCACTGGGGACAGCGCACCACTTCTGCCTGGGTGCTGCAGGTGCCTCACCTAGGCTGGGACCAGGCCTGGAGGTTGAGCAAAGTCCCTAACTGCCATGCATGCTCTTTGGGGAGCAGCATGTCCTTTGGGAGTGGGGTGGATTGAACTTGGGAATTTTCTCTCTCCCCTCTGACTTCTCTGCTCAGGGAGAGGTTGGGGGACGTGAGACAGAAGATGCCTGTTTGAACAAAACTGGTGGAGCAGGTTCATGGCAGACTTAGCCCCTCTTGTTTTTTATTTTATTTTTTTTTAAGAATTATCTTATTTAACTTTATTTATTTATTTTAACTTGACTAGAGAGGGATAGATTTGGGGGGGGG